CAAGTGAGTGAGCTTGTGAGATGATTGCCATAGATCGGCCATGATGAATCGGCCAAAATGCCTGAGAAAGAATCTTGTGCAGTGTTCCCACCTGACGCTGTGGATCCATGTATCCGTTGAAAAGTTCTCTCCCAAGGTATTTGATGATCGCAGAAAGTCCGTCTTCCGTAGCCATTGCTTGAAATTGGTTACGGGCAATACGAAATGCAATCTGTGGTAAAAGATAGATTGCAGGCGTGGCAAACTTTCTCCCGGCGGTAGCAAAAACCAGTCGCGCTTGCTGATCAGAATTAATTTGCAGGCATGGTCGTCGTGCATGATAAGCTTGCCAATCTTGAGAGGCTGCAAGAAACCAGGTCATGAGGACATTCTCGACAGACTCCATTGGCCCCTCAAAGACACATACCAAATGGTCAGTATCAACTGGATACCTCGCTTCAATCTTGACAGGTTGGGTTACATTGATCCAGTGATCAATGTGAAGCTGGATGGTCATGGTAGGGTCAAATACCGTGATGACCCAAAGCTCTGCCGCATGCTTGAAAGCCGGAATTGCTCCATACTGATCAAAGAGAGTTGTGACACCAGCTGTCAATTACCTCTGACACACGTAGATCCTTGGGAACTAGGAACAACCTGGCCTGGTCGTAATCTTGGAATAGGACTGGTGCCTCTTGCTCAAATGGTATCTCTTGCGGGTGATCAGCCTGAATCATAGTGCTTGGAATACTGTAGTAGTGCCCAGCCAGCGAATGATGCTCAGAACACAGTTGCAGATTGTCTGCTCGGACCACCCGGGTTTCATAGCTCCATAGATGTGAAATCTGACAAGCTTGAACCGTGCCATGGATAGCCAAAGTACCATATTCTCCTGGGGAATAAGATATGGGGTCACGAATGCTGTTGGCGGCTGATGAAGAATCGATGGGGTTGCAGTGCTATCCCCCGATGTGGTGGCTGCTGCAACTGGTGGTGGCTCTTTATCTTCCTGATGACCAGACCCCTCATCCAAAGACGGGGAGGTTGCAGTGTTCTCCTCCACCGTTTCTGCAACTTCAATAACTTCGATATGCTGCCGTTTTTGAGCATGAGTAGCCTTCTGCTCAGTGACTGAGGACTCTTGTGGTGACTGAAGTAAATATGCCAGTTGCGGGGATTCCGTAGGCAAACTCGGTGCTTCTTCACAAGAGCCAGGTGACGAGGAAGTCTTTGTCTTTGTGGCGGATACATCTTCACCGGCATTCTCTTCAGCTTTGCTCTCTGTGGTATCCGGTGAATGCAACTGATGCGGTGACTCAACATGTTGTGGATGTCGGAGTTTATGCAGTGGTTGGAGTCCAAATGCATTGCTCCAGTAGACGTCATCTGGCCAACGGAATTCTGCAGTTGTCAAAGGTGCCAAATCTTCATCTGCCTTCTGAAGGACAACTTCCATTTCAGAAATATCCAAACTGGTGGTAAGGATCCATGCATGCTTGTGGCAAGCAATTCTGGATGTTGACAGAGTTCGCCGGTCCTGGAGCATCTTGGAGATGGCAAAGTGCACATCAATGCGGTCTGCTGGATCAGATTGCAAATTCCAAGCATTGAGGAGGAGTAGCGCTGCATGTGGTGTGGCGATCATGTTGCCCAAACTGTGCCAAGCATGTTCTCGAGGCCTGAACAGGAGTAGATCATGTGGCTGCAAATGCATTAGAGCAAGCTCAACAGGTTTCCACCAACGAAAGGTCATTTGGTCCGGGCAAAAGAATCCATGGAGCCCCTTGTCGAGCAACAGGTTGATATCCAAAAGATGTTGCTCACCATACTTGGCCATCAAGACCGGTTGCTTCACGTTGAGCCCCGGAACCCTAGTCTGAAAGACCCGATGCGTAGAGACCGGTTGTTCACCACGGGTTGGGCACAATTCAGCACTCATATAGAAGTTCTTGGTGGCTTCAGAGGGGAAGTAGTCCTCGACCTCATTTGCCTGAGTTGGTGACCAGCAACCAAAGTTCAGTGGCGTAGAGAAGGTGAAGTCTCGCCACGGCTGCCAGGACGGCAAGGCATTCCAGGGGATATCACGACGCACCAAAATGGCAAGATAGCGAGGTCTTCTGATCGGGCAGATCTCTGCAAGCTCAATAACATTTTCATAGAATATCTGGTACCCAGCCCAGCTTAACAGTTGGCCAAACAGAGGGTACTGAGGGTGCTGCCGAAAGCCTTTCACATTCTCGAAGAGCAATAGCGGTGGTTGATGAAATCGTGCTACTGCGAAGGCTTTAGGAAGGGATTGTGCCCTTACATCTTCAAGTCCTTGTTCCCTTCCCGCGGAGGACCAGGGCTGGCATGGAGGTGAGAGTGTCCAGAGTGTTGAGGAAGCACCATTGATAATCACCTGCCACCCTGACGATGCAATGTCTGCACAAACCATGAGGTTGCCTGGAATTTTGTCCAGCAATCCAGGAGGTAATTTCGCATCTGAAGGGAAGAACGATTCTCTATGATTGAGTGCATGTTGAAAGGCTAACTTCCGGTCCAGTTCCACAGAGACTGTTCTGACCTTCGGGTAGATCTTGGGCTGAAAGTATCGGAGTGCTGATGTCCAGCCACCGTATCCCCCAGCGAAGAGGTGGACCATAACTTGTGGTTCTTGGAGGTGCCTAGGCACTATCAAGCTATCCTTGGACAGGCAGAGGACCAACTCATCCCGATGTGTTGTAGCCTGATACGGATGAATAAACAAGCGGGTGAGGAGAAGTTCCTTAGTGACCTTCAGGCTCGACAGGTTCGGGAACTGGATGAAGACCTGTTGATCGGTCATTTCTATCGGTGGGATTGGCCGAGTGGTGTGTCCCAGATCAACCCCTTGGAGGAACCCACCTTTCAAAACTTTGGCTCTAAGGCCATCAACTTCTGGTTGCAAATCGCCCAGCAACAGGTTCCACAGCAGGGGTGCTTCATGTGGATTTCCATGGACCTGCGAGTGAACATCAAAGTCCTCAAGCAGGGTCCGCAGATCGGGGGGAATGACCCCACATGCCATGGCTCGATTCGCGCGGCGCCGCCGAATCAAGGTCGCGTCGTAAACGCTCGAGCCTTCAACCTTGATGGGAAAAGTCACCAGAAATAACCCGTTTGGTTGGACATAGCCTTGCAAGTGCTGTAATAAGATCAATCAAGAACAACCTAATACCTTTGCGACAACAACCTATGCTACCCCTACAACAAAAGCAAAGAGGAAAGGACAAAATCCCAAAAGACTTGACTCCGCAATCCATCCGATATTGGTTCAATGTTGGATGGTTACGCTATAACTTCTGATTTGAAAGAATACTAACCTAACCCTTTAATCAGCCACAGCTATATCAATTTTGAAGGGAACGGCCTTTGGAACATCAATCCCGGCACCAATATAAGCAATGGATTTAACACCAATCACTCTTTAAAAAAACACATTTAAACTTAATTAACATATGTAATATTATGGTGGATTACTCCAAGGCAAAAATTTACCGAATACTAAATGACAAAACTGACGATGTCTATATTGGTGCTACTTGTCAGCCATTGAGTGTCAGAATGGCAGGACATAGAAGGGGGCGGAATGGCAAAGATAAGAAACATTACACATTGTTATCACCAAACATTCAATGCTGGTGGTGGTCAAATTAATATGAATATTGTAAAATCATCTTCTAAACTGACTGGAGCATTCATTACCTTATTTAGAACTCCAAGAAGTGGTGAAGATCTGAACCGATACTTACCTGACAAATATGTATATCAGAGATTGAATTATTTTTACAATCCTATGATCTATGGAAGAATTAATGATACTGGTAATGCTGATACAAATGACTTACAAGGTAAAGGTTTTCAAGATGCCACCCGTAGTTTAAGTTGGCAAATTCAATTAAGCAATTCCCGGAAATATCCAGAATTTGAAGCGCAATCATTATCATAAACCTTTCACTATGTAAGAAGAGCTATACAGTACATGACAGTTTAAGTTTTTCGTATCGTCAATACAGAGAAAACAAATTCATTATTGGTATGTCACTTGAAAAGATGGCAGATGTCAATTTTGCTGGCTATAATTCTAATGTCAGGTGTTACCAATTTTCGAGTTAAAGGAGCAGAAGGAGCATTATTAGACCCTAATGAACAAATCACTGAGGTTTTTTGTCATTTGATTTCAGAGACTGCTCTCGAATTGAGAGAAAATGGGAGTATTGTCTACTTCCCAGAAAATTGAAAATTTTAATATATCCCAGGTCCTTAAAAAATTCAAAATTCCAATTTTCCAAAATTCCAAACAACAAAAACAAAAGAACCAAAAAAAACAAAAAAACAATTCTGCACAGACCATGGGGGGAAGAGGGGGTGAGGCAAAGTCCTGGCACAATTGTTTTTTTAAATATTTTGGAAAATTGAAATTTTGGAAATTGCCTTTGGGGAGAGGGGGGTTGAGGCAGAATAGGATTCTTTCAGTGGCACAAAAATCAGTAGAAACACAATACAAATATAGAAACAAAATACAAACAAAATGAAACAATGCAAAAACGCGACGCTCAGAGCGCTCCTTTCTGTTTAATTTTCAAGATGCTCAGTGCGGCTGAATGTGCAAGGGTTAGTTTAAATATTGTTTCGCCGTGGGCAAAGACAATCCACAAATTTGGATATGTTAAGGGTTTTGTTACACCCCCCACCTTAAAATTGCAATTGGTTTGGGACGATATGCCAGAAATTGCATTTTCCAATTCATTTTAAAAGTTTCTACTTGGCTATCATCCAGGGTGACCCAATGTCTAACCAAGTTCACTGTGTTAGTGTTAGTCCTTGGATCTAGCAGTCAAAGAATAACAACAGCAATGATCTAAATGGAACTCTGACTGTGTAGAAAGCACACGTTGGAACAATTTCCTAAACACTTGAGTGTCCTGACATTTTGCCAGAACTTGTGTTTTCAACTTGCTGTTGGCGTCCATTTGCATGTTTAGCATCTCCGGCCTCAGGCACCTGACGCACCTGTTGGTGATGAGGTTTTCATTGAGAATGTGGGCATGGCAGGGTGTCTGGAGGCGCGAACTGGGACCAAAGACATCCAAAGACCATTGTGTTTATGATATAGGCCCAGGATTGTGTTCACTAGTGCTCAACGCTACAAATGTTTCACACCGGTTTCGTCGGCAAAACAGAAGTTGCAGCGGCCTCGGCCTTGCAAATTCCGCCAGGAAGCAAGAGCAAAGACGACAAAAAAATACACAACACGTATGTAACAAACAAATGCCAAACCAACAAATCGCATATTCCATGGCAGGCGCCACGGCCTTTTTGGCAACAAGGATGCGTGTTTGGGAGGGCAGTGGGAACACACGGGGGCTCAAATGGGTTCACCCCATTTTGCATGCAAATGATTGCAGTTGGGCCACAAGTTACCCCGTGAGTTTACCGCCATACGCGTAAGAGGCACAAAGACGACCTAATTCAATAAATCCGAAAGGTTGGTGACTGTGACCGGCCACTCACGCAATTTAAGTTGGCAAAAGCGCGTTGCACCACGATCAGTTGTATGTATTGAATTTATGATTTGCTTACGCGGTACCCGGTCTCATTTATCATTTGCTAATTGTAGCTCTGGCGAAACGCAGTGCAGGAGACGAGATGGCAAGCCACGCTCAATTGGCCATTGGGAACCACCTTCGGGTCGAAGTTGTTCGTGTAGACTACTTAATTATAGAAGTAGGCGCCTACTTAATTAAGACAAAACATTCTTGTAATTCAGCTACTAGCCTCCGACCTACTAGCGTTTCTTCTGATTCTTGATTTTTGTTGGGAAATGAATGATGGAGGGCCGAAGAATCACGTGGTCAAAGGTTTCGCACGCTGCAATTTGCCTTTTGCACCTCTGTTGTTTTGATTGTGTGATATTGTGTGCAAACAAGCATCCTTAACCTCAGAGGCAAGGTTTTGAGGTTAACCACCTGCTTTTCAGAATTTGTCAATCGTCAAGGTGTCCAAGTTGGCCATGTTCATAACTGTTCCTTGAAAGCCGGGTCAGGCCTCTGACACGATTGAGAAGGAACTCGCTAGTCCAAGATATCCTGAGGCATCGCGTTTCAAATACGCTTGGATTGCTGCAGATGTGTTTTTGCAAGATGGAAACGTCGTGAGGGGCATTTTCGGTATCATTGGATTGCTGCAGATCAGGTCACTGCAGCCGGCTGTGCCATCCCCTATGGTCTTACTGAGCAAGGATGTGCCACTATTGAAATGGAGGCTCCAGAGGCCACAGGGCTTTTCCCACAGAGCACGGAGGAATTCGCAGAGGCCAGAACTGAATTGCGATTGTTTCGGCATGTTTCGGCACGATGGCTGGTGCAGAGAGAAAATCTGGGACTTGACTCGGGGACATGTTTCATCATTTTTCCAATAGGCACCATCATCCATTTGGTGTTTGGATAAAGCGTGCGGAGGTCTCGGCCACAAGGTCGGAGAGGCCTGGCACGGTGGTGGGGCTGGCGTTGGGCCATAGAGGTGTCACAGAGTGCATGTTTGTTAGGGCAAAAGTGGCAAGCCTTCTCCATCCATTTCCGATTTTTCCTCATAAGGCGCAATTGGCAGATCACCTTGGATTCATTGGATTCAGCCTCCGCCAAATTCCGCCACCTTTTCGACACTCAACACCACGCCCCACAACAAACGCCAGCGCTCCCGTCAAGTTCATCATGTTGATCGACAGTTATTGGCAGGATGAATCAAGGTGCATGTTGCACGGTTTACATTTCCCTGCCGGTATGGTGTGCCATGTCCTGTGTGCAGTCCTCCCCGTCAAGGTCAGAGCTGCAGGGTGTGGCTGAGGTAGGGTGGGAACGAGTGGGGTATGGTGGGTTGGTTGCTGGACGATGCGCTGGATGGGACCAAATAGTCTTATAGTCTTGGATCGTGTGCGTTTGGTTCTTGTTATTGTATGTTTTATTATCACGTGAGCAGTGGGGACATGGACGGCATATCAACCCTGGGTTTGGGGGGAATGCTTGTGTGCTCTTCATGAGGGAAGAACTATGAAGAACTTGTGTCTGGGCGCTCATGTTTCCCAGCAGATTAGGTTTGGGGACTTGTGTTCATTTGAGAGTTTCTCGCACTCCACTATCATTGTACGCATGTTTACACCACCAGTATCAACAAATATTGTAAAATGATTTTGTCGTACGAGCCCATGTGATTGCCCCAACAAGACAACAAGATCGACATGGTTTGATTGATTTTTTTGGTGCATGCGTCAATGCGTCCAATACAATTGGAATAGAAGCACCATGCCTGCCATGCACGTCTGGTGGAGGAGAGTAAAGGCGTATCTCCTGCACAATCAAAAATTAGTGGGTTGATTGAGATTGCAACAGCCCCCAGATCATAGGGCAGCTCTTAGTTCCCAACCGGCACCTTGCGAGGGTATTACGGTGCACGGGTTCCATTTTTGACAAAACAGATGTTCCCGTACCACATCCATCGATATATCTTTTGCCAAGAAGCGCCTCATCTGCCAATCACTTGAGGCCGGCGTGCCAAAGCCAATGAGGGAGCCGAAGAAGAAAGCAAAGAAGGTTCCGTGGTACTTTACTTTACTCGGGGTTTGATGCAGAATCTGTTTTCTGCTACATTTTGATTTCCCAGGGCAGGGGCCTGTAAATAAACTGCTCGCAATGAAATGTGTACTGAACCTGCGAATTCAGGGTTTCTAACCACGTGCTGACTGGATCATATTATTCATAATATGTTAACCTAGTTACCATTAATGTCCACCTCCTAATAATAACCCCCCCTTGATCAAGTGCGGCCCCAAATAATGTGAAATCCTGAAAAAATCCTATACAATCTTGATTTGAATTGAACATGAAAGGAAAAGAAAGGACATTAAAGGAAAAGCAATGAAAGGAACATGAAAGGAAAGGAAAGGAAATTGAAAGCACAATGAAAGGAAAGGAAAGGACAATGAAAGGAAAGGAAATTGAAAAGAACATTAAAGGAAAGGACAGGAAATTGAAAGGACATTAAAAACAAATATATATATATAATAGATTATAATAGCATTATTTGAGGTCCATTTATTATGGGTGATTGAACAGATTTAGCATTATTAACGGGCTATTTATTGTTATGAGGTCAACATTAGTTACCTAGTTCAAGCACGTGCTGACTGGATCATATGATTCATAATATGTTAACCTAGGACCTAGTTCTTGCAAGTCAAGTTCAGACCCTGAGGCCAGGAAGAGGGAGACGAAGGTTGAAGCTAATGCCAAAGCAACCGAAGCTGTTGAAGCAGAGCCCGGTGACCCAGAGCAACCGAGTGGCGCCCAAAATGCCCAGAGCCTTCCGGAAACGCCGGGCCGTGGCATCTTTTGGTCTTGCAAATGCCGCCATTATTATCATATTTTCAGGTTCTGAGAGTGGAGGTCGTGTGACCTTCCATGTGGAGGTTTGACCTGTTGCCCAGGAGATGTATTGGTGGTTTGTTCAAGTTGGACAGGTGGGGCGGGCCAGTGCAGATGACCCAACATATCCCAATTGCCCATAGATGGTCTATAGAATGCTCCTGTCAGGCATGCCCTTCTTAAGTTATATTGCATTTGCAGTCCATTCAAAGTCTCTTGCACCTACCGTGTTGCAGAAGGCTTTGTCAACACGTATTCGCTTGAGGTAGCATTGGTGGGTCCTCCTTTTGCAAGGACCCCGTCCACATGTGCCAACGCTCCTCAGGTTTGGCCAGGCAGAGATCAAAGTGGAAGTTGCAGAACCAATTAAGGCATCGCCAGTGGGAAGTTCGAGAATGGAACTGCTTGGAAGGGAGGAAGATTTGAGCAAGGAAGATCCTTTCAGATGTTAATCCTTTCCCGCCTGGTTGTGCATTGAAACTCTTTTGTACTCGTGCCATTGTGTCGATGTTTACAATGGTGGAATGAGTCGTGTTTGTGGTCAATGCAAACTTTTTTCTGCTGACCCAGAGGCAAAGGAGGGCTGCATCTATCGAATTGAAAACGCTGGAGCGCTGGTGCAAGCGGAGAGGAAGTCAATTGCTCGGGGAGCTTTGGACGTCATCCCAAAGGGAAGCACACTCACGGGGGAGCTTGTGCCAGGCAGGTTTGAACATGCCAAGAGTTCATGCCGTTCATGCATCCAAACCTGAGCCCACCGGTGCTGAAGATGTCTGCCTGGCAGGCATTTTCGAGGAAGGTGATCGTGTGGAGATCAAAGATGACTCTAAGACCTTCAAGAAGGTCACCTTCGGCAAGATTTGTGGCAAACTCCTGGAGGCAACCATTGTCAGGACACGGATCAGGGATACGCAAGGCCCCAAAGAAACACAGTATACATAGTATACGCAGATCCTCCCTTTGCCCGTATACCTCTCAGTGTATCTTTTATTGTTGACGTACAATACACCGTCACTTGCTTAGTGTGCTCTTCGGGGGGTCAGGGGATGCTCTTCCGGGGTCTCTTTCCACCGAATAGGTGGCGCAAACACTTGGACCCTGGACAACACACCATACCTTGTAGTGGAGGAGGTCGCACCCACCGTGGTGAGTATTGAACATAGCTCGGGGTGCTTGGGGGGAAGTCACAGCCACATGCGTTTACCTTGAGAGAAAAGCCGTTTGTTTGTCCCTGGCCAACACCAACACAAGTCATACCAAGCCACTGACTGTGTTTCCCTGTATTTATGTGGGAGGTTTCTTAGTTGTTTATGTTGTGTGTGTTTTGTTCTTGATACGTTACGTTGTGCTTGAGGGAAGCTTTGTGAGTAGTAACTAGGGTGTTGCCAAGATATCAAGATGTTCAGCCTGCCATGCTGTTTCATGTGCTGGTATGTTGGGGTTGTGTGTGTCTAGTTTGTGTGTGACATGAAAGCGCGTCATGCGTTTACCGTTTAAAGTGGTGGACATTTGTGCGGGGCGCGTGGGTGAGCAGAGTTCCCTGGGAAACTTGGAGCCACGAAGTGGTGACTACCGTGACTACCGCCTTAGCCGCCAATTGCGATCGTCACCACGCAGAAGGCAGGGATTCATGCATGGCCAAGACATTGTTTCGCCACAACAGCTTCAGATGTGATTGATCGATTGTAGCTTTTGCTCAACAGTTGGCGGCGCCGGTAAGTGCAAGGGACAAAATGGATCCGGCCCTGACAAAAACAAAGCAATATCCAAGCTCCAACAGGCGGGGCTGGCAGATTTCCAGAACATGGAGTGAATCGCCAGCGGTTGGAGTGCTAGCTTGCCAGCAGAAAGTCGCCAGACCTGTTTCAGCTGTGGTGGCACACCAACTAGAGGGCAACTTGACATCCCCTTTACTAACGAACCAGCTGTCGAATAATTTGGCCAGCTTGCTGGGGTATGGTGGCAGCTGCGTGTTAGCGGCTAGCGTAGTGGTTGTGCACTAACCCGCTTGCACCCTACACCCGCCACTGAGCTTGAAACAATGCACACAATGAAGATCCGACCTGCCCAAGGGCTTAAACTTAAACTCCGTGACTGGAGGATTTGGGGAGCCGATCATGACCAAACCTCACCAAAATGATACCTTGTCGGAGTCAGGAAATGTGTGAAGGAGGAGGACCCGCGTTTGGTGGTTCGACTTACATTCACCTTCGGCACGCTGCATGGAACCTTCGATCAATCCGAGCTCGAGCCAGAGCGGTGGCTGCAACTCCACGATGGCAGGTTTGTCCCAGTTGGGGGGCTTTGTGGTGCTGACCTGAGTGTCGCACTCGAGAAAGGAGTGTTCTGCAGAGGACCCCTCAGATTTTCTACCCATTTGATGGATGTTTTGGTGGTGAGGCGTGCTAATTAGTTGTGGGAAGGTGCCATGATATGCACTTTTTTTTGTTGTGGGATGCTTGATGGCAACTGCACATGAAGCATATATGGCCTAGGAGGATTTGTTCTTCCAAGAGGTTTGGAGAGTGGAGATGGCCAACTCACCGAGGCTTGGAGAGCTATGAAGTTGTTGCAGAGGAAGTTCAGTACACATCATCTTGTGAACCCTCAGACTTCATTGCGAACTGTGATCCGGCAAGAAAGGGAGACATCCTGGCTGGAAACCTTATTTTGGGATCCAATGAAGTGGAATGGGTCCAGGCGACTTGGCTTAGCAGACTATTGTAGTATATAGCTATATATAGCTATATACTAGTCGCAACATCTCACAGCCAGCGCGAAGCCCTGCGAAGGGGCGAGGCAAACTTCGATCCCGGCACCTTCCCTACATCTATGATTGGTCAAGAAAGGCAGGGGGCCAGGTCCTAAGCTACAAAGACTTTAATTTGGAGGCCCCCACATACTTTTTCCACGTCTTGGGTTTGAAATCCCGGTGACGCCAGGACTGTCTCTCTCTCTCTCTCACTCTTTGTATATATATAATATATATGCAAGTGTTTGTCAGACGTTTGAGGATGCGAAGTTCGGCCAATTGGTCCCAGACATACGCGACGCGCGAGGGTGATAGCTAGAAGTCAAGATGCGGGAGGTGAAGACAATAAAGGAATACAAAGGATATTGCCTCGGGGTTGCATCAAGCGTGTTGTTGCTGAAAGCTATTTGTCAAAATCCCTGAACTTGTGGCCAAGACACAGGAGCCAAGTACAATACTGGAAAAAGTGCTAGTTTAACTTCGGCACCTTCACTCATGGACTAACTTACTAACTAAACTGACAGTATGAAGGACAAGTGACAAGTGCATTATCCTTCGAGTTGGGTGATAGCAGTGTACCTTGGCATACTGAGTTTGTTAAGGGCCAGGAGTTTTCTGGTTGATGTTAAAAATGCCTAGGTCGACCACGAGAAGTTCTTGCCTCTCAAAGCAAATTTCAAGCTCCTCCTCAAACCGCGGGAAGAGACCAACCTGTGGGTTGTAGCTTCAGAGACACGACTGCACTCCACCAAGAGCCAAACCGGCGGCCGGGCTGATCAGGGCTTGTACAATGGTGACCACGTTAAAGGCCGGCGTCGCCAACGTGTGTTACGTGCAGCAACGCAGTTTACATACTTTCCTGCTAGGAAAGCCAGACGGTATAGGCAAGGCTGAAGTTGTTTTTATTCAACGAGGTGAGAATAGGGGGTCTAGGGGGAGAGGTTTCAACTAAACTACCTGGGGGACTTGGCTGTCAGCGGAGGCGTATGTGGGGGTGTTGTGATGGTAGCAGGTGAGGCGAGCAATGCATTGTATTGTGACAGATGGTGATCAGTGCGATGTCCGGGGCATCCATGTCGGGTAAGCAAGCAGTTTTGTCGATTACTCAGCTTGTGTGGGTTTGACTCACTGGGCTTGAGCCGCATGCTTTTGAATTCCCGAAGGCAGTCACCTATAGCCTATGACTAGAAAGTAGTAAAGTAGAGGTGGTTGAAGTTGGCAAATTCCAAGTTCAGCGTGCTAGACTATTAGAGAGTTTTGCAAGGATCTGCAAGGTACAAGCACCAGAGGGCAGGTAAGGTGTATAGCATTGATCGGAACAAGTCCAAATCAACCACTGGGGTGATTAGGAGGTTGCACAAAAGGATTTCAAGGAAAGGCTGTGCGAGATGGGGCAAAGACTCCCGTAGGGGGGAGGCATCCAAAAATAAGAAGTATATAGCAATCACGAAAAGCAAGAAAGAAAGAAAAGACAACTAGGGGTTGAAACAGAGGAGCAGGAAACAGAAAAAGGACGACAGACAGACATACGCGGATCAAACCTTAAAGAAGGAAAGAAAGAACAAGGAAAGACAAATCAGTCAAATCAGTTAGTTGATATCAAATTCAACCAGGAAGGAAAGATAAATGAACAGGAAGAAGCTCCATATAGTTAACGTTTGCAAAACCTGAAGCAACCACACAGTTCCAGTTTCAGGTTGAAACTGAGTTTGGACTCCAACATTGGAGGTCATGAGATCACCACTCAATTCAAACAAGGACACTGTGACAGAGAATCATTTGCTGCAGCACTGCATCTCAGTGTTTTTCATTTCGGTTTTGATGTTTGAAGATCGCATTTATGGACCCTTCCTTGGCCCTTTATTCCCCTGAGCTTGGCTGAGCAGGCAACCCAGTGTGGGGTCAGCACCGTGGCATGCAAAAACGAGTGGAGTTCTTGGAGCTAGTTGAACCTCACAGCCCTTCAGCTGATGCTGATCTGCGCCCACCTAAGTATTTGCTTATGTCTGACTTGAAGAAGCGGAAGAAGGACAGTCACCAAGTTTGTCCATCAGGGTTCCAACAAGGGTTCCAATATCGCAGGTGTATGCAGGTGTTTTCATTGGTATGTGTTTGTGTTCAACTTACGCCGACCGGTGACAGGACTCAAAGGGCTGGCGCGTCAACTGCTCCTTTGCAGAATTCTACCGGAAACTGGACTCTGGAGAGATGCTTGATGCAAATCTTCTTTACGAGGGGGGAAGAAGTGGAGGGTTGGCTTCAAAAGGATGGTCAATGGGTCATGATCAGCAGTGGGGTGCACGAGGGGCTTTACATTCCACGAGGCAACTTGAGGGGCGAGGACACGGGTAGCGTCCTTGCAAGATATCGCTTTGCAGAAGACATGCCCAAGGATTCAGCCTATGCAGCTGCGTTGGTGATGTGGTGCGTCTACCGAAGTAGCGGCTGGAGCACGCAGTGCCGCTCATATTTTTGGTCTGCTGTGGTCATGTACACAGTGAGCATCATTCTGCAAGGTTGTTTGCTGGCTTTGCTGGTCTACGTGCCATTGTTGAGTTCGGAAGGTGGCGATCCAGCTGCATGTATGTATGGAATAGGAGCAGCCGACAGCTTGTTCTTCCCCACAGGTTACGGCTTGACAGCCCATGTGGGCCGTGGATACGAAGGGTTCAATGTGACAACTGAGAATCGGGAAACAGATTTCGCCCGCTATGAATTGCAGGTAGCAACCCATGGAGCTTTGAAATCCATTATCGGCCTAATTGCTGGCATGACGGGCAATGAATCGTTTCATGAAACTGCGGTCAACAGCATTTCAAGCCTAGACCCAGCTGCAGATGGCAAGGTCTTTGGGATCGAGACGCATTTATTTCGTTTCCTGGGTATTTTCATTTTTGTGGTGCAGTGGAGCCGAGATTTTTGGACCTCAGTGATACATTTCTACCTGCTTCCTCCTTCTGGCAAGGGCCTGGGATCAGCTTCCTGGATCCACACCACACGCGAAGAGGTGTCTCTTCGATTTGCTGGCTACCACAGGGCAGACGCGAAAGTTTTCATAGTGTTAGGAGTGTTCTCCATGGCGATAAGCGTGTATACGGTTTGGCTCGGTGTGGCCATGTTGCTGAGTCTAACGACTGCAGAGGATGTTTTGTTGAACTGTTTGGCTTTGAACTTCATCCTCGACATTGACGAGATTGTTTTTAGGAGCTTTGCGCCTATTGGAGTCCAGAAGACTCTGGAGGAGATTGATTTCGAGTTCTATGATCAAGCACGCGTGTGGTCCTGGTTGCAAACTCTCAGGTCGTGGCGGGTGTGGGTGCTCTCTCCTATCATAGTTCCCTTGACTGTCAGCGTGGGGCTTTGCTATTTCGTTTTCACGACTAATTGCACATACAGTGAAACTGCAAAGATGTATGTTTCGCGCAACAATGGTGAGGAATGGTGAGGATTAATTGTGGGATAAGCACCATCCACTCATCCTTCATTTTCACCCATTTTCACCGGCTTGTCAAGCAGATGGACTGTTTGTCATTGTCAGCGTGCTGACGTAAAAAAGCATGCTGCTCCATGCGAGTCAGCTCACATTTATGCCGGGGTGCCCAGATCTAGTAGGACCATTGATCGTTGTCAATTGTTTGCCTTTGGCTTCTCGAACTTTCAATTAGAGGCGCTAGTAGGGTTTGGGGCCTCGATTTGCACTGGTTAGCTTGCGCTGACAAGCAGCATGAGCTGGCTGTTGTGTTATCAATTTTTATCCATATATCCAGATTTCCCCACATCACATTCCATCACGACGGGTTGGCAATTGGTTTGCATGTGCAATGGGTGATGTATTCCAGACACCGCAACCACTCACGAGCCTTTTCTTTGGCCCAGGCCCATGCCCTTGACCCTTTGGTTTTTCACAAGCTTCAGCCATTGCTGCTGCTCCTGATGCATTGTAAGACTCCGAGTGAAATCACCCTTTAGGTTTCCATATTCAATAAATTGGAAGTGGCAACATATTTTTCAGACTTTCTTTTGGAGGCCCACCATAACCAACAACCACACACACAATACTGTACAGTATTGCCACATGTAACGTACAGAACATTTGCAATTGCTGCCATGGCCTTCCTTCGGTGATGAAGGTCAGCGTGCATGTCGTGCATGTTTCTGGACCCGAGTTGACTTGGTTGACAATCACGGGTTCATGAGTTAACACATCCTGATGTTTCCCAGAGGTTCACGTGTCATCATGGCGAATACTCACCCCGGTGTATTTGATCGTTTTTCTTTTGGTCGGAGCCTTGGTCAACTCTCAATATTGGAGTGCTGCACAGCGTCACGGGAATGGTGTGTTTGCCAGCACGTCCATGACACTGAGGTTGGCGCTCCATTCCCCGCAGCGGCTTTGTTGGCGGTGGAACGATGCACGAATTTATACAAGTCTGGCAATGTCTATCGTTTAATTGTGTTCGACATTTATGGCTGCAGTCTGTTGTGCCAGGTTTTGTTGCCGAGCGTCGTTGTGGAGCTCTCTTTGAATTGGAAAACAGCGCTGGCGGTGCTCTTGGCAGCTTTGTGTAGCCACCAGGTTCGCCGCATGCAGTTCTCATAGCAATCATACTGTCCATCATCCCCCGAAGAGCGCGGGAGACAGGTTGCAGAAGCTCCGCAGCTCGGTTACGTTATGGCCGCGAAGTCGATGTCGACGGCGCATGTGTGTGTATATGTTTCGAAGATGTTTCGAAGATGTTTTTACCAAGCTGTGCACTTAACTAATTACAGTATGTAGCCTTGTTGCAAGTTTCAGCATGGCCTGCTGGCAATCAGGATGGCTTTGGTGGGAGCCAGATTCTTTCGAGACTTTGCAGTGTCAAGGCTGCACTGCACACTACAGTACTCGGAAATGTATTTATATAATGTTGCGGAGAAGGGAGGGTGTACTTTGGTTCAATCGTCACAGGCTTGGAACACTGGCTTATCGGTCTCCGCTTTGCCCTTAGTGGGGAAGACATTCTTTACTTTACTCAGATGTTCACTGCGCAACAGAAACTTGTGTTTTGAGGTGTTTTATGTGCTCGGATGTTCAACATGCTGTACGTTTAATTTGCCGGTTGTGGAAGTGTGCTTTGCAGCTGTTGTTCTTAGTGACCTCATGAGGACTTGTCATGAAATAATGTGGGCGGAGGGGCGCATGTGAATTGACATCAATGAAGAATGCATGAAAAGATATGAAAAGAAACCATACACCATCTAAATTGATGCGCTTTTTGTTCATGGAGGCTGAGTTTACTCATCCACCTATGCTAATCCTTTTCCAGGCCAGTGCAGCAGGTGCTGTAGATAGTCAACAAAGTTGCAAGCTGCTGCAAGCTGGTTCCAACCGTCAGCCATGGCCACACCTTTGGCGTCGGGCGTTGGCACACCACTCACATGGCTGTGCACCCAGGCCAAGTCCTTTGCGGTAGGTGTTGCATGGTGTTCTTCCCATGTTCACGGTGGATGACTGAGAGTCCGACTATGAGTCGTGTTGAAACAAGGGGCGCTTCATCCACGACACATTTTGAGTTTTCCTTGGACATTGTCCACGTGCTTTTTCTGCAAAAAGATGCGGGAGGTCCAAGTGTTAAATCAACACACTTCATGTTCCAATGAACGCACCCCAAACAGAAAGAATTGGAAACAGCCTGAAAACAGCTCATGGATTGATGCTAGAGCCACGTTGTGTCACCATGGGCTGAGCTCTCGAGAGGGAGAGAGGTAGCGTTGTGAAGTGCAGGTGGAGTCTCTTCAACGCTTGGTGGTTGGGCAGCGTGCTCAGTTTCGCACTGGAACTCACATGGGTGTCTCGGTCCAGCTCCCAGCCATTAAAGGATCATGTCACACGCACTGGAAGGGCTTTATTGAGCACTGCATGTGCATAATTGAATCTTGATGTGTCAGCTCTTGTGCAGACACGCCTTTGCGAATCAACAGTGCAGCAAAAAAAACAACTCCAGAGCTTTTCAAACTCCAGTGCCTGTCCTAGAGTTCATAGGGGCCTTCCAAGGCTCCTCACGCGGGTTGCCGACCTAGAACGAGATGTGGCACCATTGAAGTCTCACATCAATGGCGGAGGACAGCGACGCAACCTAGCGAAACTCCTCCCCCATCCAGGCAGTGCGCAGCGGCATTTGCATGAGTTTAATATAAAAACTAATAGCAAACATTGTTACCACTAGTAAGGCACTTGTTACTAGAAGTGATGCACTTGTTCCTAGTAG